CACTGAGGAGATGGGCACTGAGGAGATGGACACTGAGGAGATGGACACTGAGGAGATGGACGCCGAGTGTGCCCCCGGCCGGGACCTGAGGATTTGTTCCTCACACGGCTGTGGTGGGAGTTTCCGGCGGGGCTTAGCCTAGTAGGGCGGAAAGGCCTCCCCCAGCCGCGGCATAGACGTCGACGGGAAGGACCATGAAGCGGAAGTGATACAGGTGCAGAGTTGGGGGTGGAGAGGACATAGCCACGGAGAAGAACCCACTTCTGCTCAGTACGATGTGGAATCTTTCGTTATTCTGTGGTCTTGCAGTATTTCTCACCTCTCTTCCTCGCCCGCCCTCCCCACAGAAATGCATTGTTCCTGGCGCCTGGGAGACCCCCGTACCCCCAGACCCGCTTTGGCATCGCAAACACTGTGAGGAGAGGACACGGGCAAGTGAGCCCAGTTGACTGATCCACTGAGCAAGGTAGGTGCAGATCTCCTGCTACCTGTGGTGCGTGTGATGGGCGTCACCTGACGGACGCTCTTGGGCCCTCTCACACAGATTATTGCGTAATTTCGTTAGCAGAGAAGAGTCAGGACTAGTCATTCACTTTGGGGAGCGAACAAGAAAACCCAGGTATCTCAGCCAAGGACTAACTCAGGCTCAAGAGATTGCTGTGAGTTAGGACAGCCTGGAAGGCGCCCCAGGAGAATGTGAGGTGCGACTGGTTTGGGAAGCCAAGTAGGAGATGCAGTGAAGACCGGATCGGCTAAAACACAAGCAAAGTCTTGCACATGTCGCTCTTCCTGCTTCTCCAGAGAAACAGAACCAGTAGGAGACATAGAGAGATACATGAGATTTGTTGTGAAAATTGGCTCATGCAGTTAGGGAGGCTGAGAAATCCCATGATGGGCTCACTGCAAGCTGGAGAACTAGGAAAACAAAACAAAACATTTTTTTTGTTTTTATACTTTTTCAAGTAAATGCTGTTATTAATATTTGTATGACTTGTATATAATTTTTTTAATTACAAAAGTTTATTTTTACATCATTTTGTACATTTTTTTTTCCATCTCAATTGTAATCCCAGTTGTAATCCCCACGGGTTTCCCATCACCAAGTCACCCGTGTGCCATCACCATAATCCCTTGCACTTCCCTCCCCACCCCCCCAACCCCCCTACTTTGATCCCATTCCCCACTCCACCCTTACAAAATGTCTCTGGTATATGGTTGTTCATTATTTTTGTTATTTTCTCGCCTGGTCCATTATACTCCTGCTATGAGTGAAACCATCGGGTATTTTTCTCTTTCTGGCTTATCTCGTCAGTGATACAATTTTTTAAAAAAGATTTACTTATGCATACAGAACTGGGGTGCAGGCCAGAGGTTCAGGAGCGGTGAGAGTATTCACCAGAGACAGAGTGGGGAGTAGAACAGGCCGACTGAAGTGGGTCAGGAGAGGTCTGCCCCGCCACATGGGTCAGCTCCGGTTCTGGGATCAAACTCATGCTGAAGTGGCTTTAGCCTCTTAGTACTGTGCTTCGACCTGCTGTGCCAGCAGGGAGGGCCCAGTCAGTGGTATAATTAAATTGCCCTCTGAAACAGGAGAATAGGGCGGTCCTGGGATCCTGAGGACTAGGAATTCTGACGTGCAAGGGAAGGAGAGAGGGATGGCCCAGCTCAAGAGAAAGGGAGACTACTGTTCCTCTCCCTTTTTTTTGCATTTGGGCCCTGGGTTGGGTTGGATAGCATCGCTACATGTTGGCGAGGGAGGAGTTCTTTAGCCAGGCCAACTTAGTTTCTTTCTTCAAACACCTTCACAAACATTATTGGAAACATTTTTCCATCTATGTGGGCATGGCATGATGGAGCCAAGTTGACATGTAACATTAAGCAGGCAGTAAGGCAGTATGTGAATAGTGTCATTGTTTTTACTGTTTTCCATTATCTCACAGAGGTAAAAGAGAACCCAGGCCTTTACTTTTTGATCAGGATGTATAAGAGAAAAAACAAAGTTGCAAGATTTTCCCGTTTTTTTTTTTTTTGTATTTTAGTTGATATGTATTGAGTCCAGAATCAGCAAGGTTAGCCTTTCTTCCCATTAGCAGAGCCATTTAATACGGTTTGTGATATGTGGTAGTTTGTCTTCAACCTGAGTGGTGATTGTTCAGCATAATACAGCTTTTTTTAATGTGCCAAGGAAACTGGAGGAACAGGAGTAAGAAGTAGGTAGCCCAGTAACATGACAGAAAGCCAAGTCCTGGGCAAAAAAAGATGTCTGTGAGGGTTTCCTAGTGGTGAGTTTTTTTTAAAGGTTTGTTTCTTTTTTAAGATTTATTTATACATCAAGAAGTGGGGGTATGGGCCAGAAGTGTTGGGGAGGGGGAATAGGATTCACCAGAGACAGAGTAGGGAGCAGAAAAGGGGGTGGACTCAAATACACTGCTGAGGGTGGCAGTAGAGGAGACAGGAGAGGCCTGCTGTGTCACCCAGCGGGGCTGGGGATCAAACTCATGCTGCAGTGGCTGCCGATAACTTCACAGTGCTGAGACTTAACACCTTGTGGCACCAAGAAGGCCCCAAGAACAGTGATGTCTAATGTGTGGGTTTAAGTTATTGTATTATTGCTGTCTTGAGCTATGCTGAACTTGTCCCTGTTATCTTCAGTAATAAGAGAACAGTAATATGGTTATGGTGGTTTGGAAGGTTGGTGACATGGTAGGGAATTATTTCTATGTGAATAACGGAGAGTTTCAGCATTGTTTTAGTTTTTAGAGATTTCTGTCTGAAAAATGTCAAATAAAAAATAATAAACCCATGGGCCCATCACACAGATTTGACAGCTATTTCATGGCCAGTCTTACTATAATTATATTACCTCTTTTTCCCCACTACCAAAATTATTTTGAAGTAAATGAATCCATATGGTTGTGTAACTAGGTAGCATGGTTTGTCACAGTTCACAGGCAGTGGTTTATCTTAGGGTTATTTAAGGAAATAGTGTGTCTTACAATCAGTGGTGACTTACAGTTGATGAAATTCAGTGTATAAGGTCAAGTTTATTTACTCCAAATCTCTATAGTGCTTATCTTCTTGTTCTTTGTATCAATTATGAGTTATTGTAGGGTGAGGGGATTGGTCAGGCTTTTACATGGCTGGTCTCTGTGGCTATCACCTGCAGCCTTGAATGCAGAAGGTGCTTGGAAGCCTGGGCCCGGGGCAGCATGCCTGACTGGGGACACCTGGAGTGTGGTGTGGACGTGCATAAGCAGGCACACCTGAGCCTGGAGGCTGAGGCTATAAGCCGTATCACTCAGCACGCAGTGGCAGAGAACGGCTTCATGAGGACGAGTGTGGACAGAGACAGGACAAGACAACGCCACAGAGAGGCCATAAGAAGATTTGCAGGGGACCCAAGTGCTGTCTCCCTGCTGGCCTTTTTCCCCTTCACATTATAAAAAAACCTGTGGGGATCCAAGGTTCTCTGTTAAGCTGCCTGGTTTGCAGCCATCTCAGTCTGGGTAGCTTCACCTGGTTCAGGCAACTTAAAAGAACCTTGCAGCCCTTGGAATAATCCCCACAGGTTTTTAAATAGTGCACAAGGGCAACCGGCCAGCAGGGAAGGAGCAGCGTAGGCCCCTCGCAAGTCTCTCTAAGCTTTCTCCTGGGCGCTCTCTTGTGGTCTCTTCCTCTTCAGCCATTCTCTGCTGCAGCGTCTCTGAGGTGCTGCCCTCACAGCCTCAACCTCCTGGCTCAGGTGTGCACTACACACACCCACACCACGCTCCAGGTGCCCAAGCACCCTATGTTAGCACAACTAAGGCTGCAAGGCAACAGCGCAAAAGCCAGATCACTCCACTAGCCCCTAACTGCCTGAGTCCATGGTGAACTTATCCGGCATGGATTGGTAGCAAAAACAGGAATGTTCACATCTAAGATTGTGAACTTATTTTCTCCTAGTTCTACATTTTGCTTACTATCCTGTGTTGTGTTTGGTGTAATCATATCTTTTACCTTACAGGTGAATTGAATTGCTGTCATTTTAGTCTTTGTGTGAGTAATACCTTTTGCTTTAAAGTGCATTTCCCCCAACTTATAGCCACAACACTTTCTCTATACTTTTACTTTCTCTTTTTAAATTCTCTTTTTTTGTACATCATTCTTCATTTTGTATACCTTTTCATCTCAGTTGTAATCCCCGTGGATTTGCCACCACCAATTCACCCATGTGCCATCACCATAATCCCTTGTGCTCTTCCACCCATTTTGATCCTCTTTCCCCCATACAGTGTCTCTGGTTTATAGTTTGTTGATTTTCATTTTTATTTTATTACAGTTACTTCTCCCCCCCCCACCCCTCACATTCCTGCTATGAGTGAAACCATCCAGTATTTTTCTTTTACTTTCTGGCTTATCTCACTAAGCATGATCCCTTCCAGCTCCATCCATGTTGCCATAAATGGCTGAGCTTTATTTTTTTGATTGCTGAGTAATATTCCACAGTATACCACATCTTCTTGATCCAGTCATCAATTTTTGGGCATTTGGATTGATTCCATGTCTTCCCTATTGTAACAAGTACAGCAGTAAACATAGGGGAGGTGTCCTTTTGAATTGTTTTTGTGTCCTTTGGGTAGATATCTAGGAGTGAAATTTTCTCCCAATTGGTGGGATGTCTCTGTTTTGTTTAAAGAGTTTCTGTACAGTAAAATAGATATTAATTTGATATAGTCCCAGCTGTTTATCCTTTACTTCACTCTCTTTGCTTTGGGTGATGTATCTTTACAGATGTTACTGAAGTGTATGTCATGTAGTGCTTCGCCAGTATTACCTTGTATATATTTTATGGTTTCATGCCTTATGTCTCCTTTTTTTAAAAAATGTCTATTTTTAATCGACACTTTACTTTCAATTGTGCTATATCCTTATATTTTATACTTACCCCTTAACAGCACGTCAATGGATTTTGTTTTCCAATTCAACATGAAATCTCTAATATTTAGCTAAAAATGTCCACTGCATTTATCATGATTTTTGAACACATAGCCTTCTACCATCTCATTCTGGGCTATCTGTCCTATTTGCTTCTTTTAGATTGATGAGTGAGAACTCCAGGTGTTTCACTATGTGTAATGCTATAGTGAAAAGTAGAGGGCTCTTTGAGTCTCCCATCATTTTCCTACAGCTTGAGCTTGTTAAAGACCATTTTTCTTGTTTCTTGGCTACACTTCACTGAGTTTAGTACTTTATACATAGTTGATTTATAGAGTTTATACTATTTTGATGATGGTAACAGGTAACGGGCAAAGAAGTGGTGTTGCCTTTTTCTTTTTACTCCTTGAAACTGCTAAAAAGTCTAAGTCAATTTTTGTTCAGTATTTCATAATCTTACACTGTTATTTGCATTTTCTGAACTAATAGAATAGATTTGGGCATTTTTTACACAGATGTGATATTAAATTACAAGAATTGTGAGTTGAAAAAGAAATGCTTGGGTGGTTAGTTTTTTTTCCCAAAACAAAGGGTTAAATTCCATAGCTAAAATCCTATTTTCTTTGGTCTGCTTCACTTTCATTTAAAGAATGGTACATTATAAACATGTTATTAATGTGCTGGAAAACATATATTTATGGAATCACATAACAATGTGTACAGGATCCACTAAATTCATGATAGTGGTTCAATTAGGGAGGGAAATGGAATAGGGTGAGAAGGTGGGGAGTTCACTTGTACATTTTTTCTTCACAAAATGATCTGAAGATAGCAAAACGTTAACGTCAGTTTTGGGTGGTGGGTGTATATGGATTTGATATACTGTATTTTTAGAATTTGTAAAACTTCTGTGATTTTTAAAATGGAGGTTGCCATCTAGTGGACACTTTTAAGTGCTCCTTTAAACACTTTGACACTGAGAGCGTAACAATTAAGTGAAACAAAGTGCAGCTTTTTCAATGGCACAGATAAGAAAAAAGGTACACTCTCCTGCTTAAGATCACAAACTTTGCAGTTGATCAGCTCTAGGTCTGAACCCTAGTCTGTTACTTACTGTGTGACCTTGGGCAAATTATCAAGCTATGTCTTCTTGAGTTTGAACCAGGCTCTCATTCATTCAACAAATATCCACTCTTGTGAACTTGGTAAACTGTCCTATACTTTGGGGTTTACAGAAGCATATAAAAGAAACCATCTCTCTTTAGAGTTTAATAACTAGTTAAATAAAGTATGTTGGAGGGGAGCACACTAATTCGATGGAATGTTTAGAGAATAGTTGGTTCAAATCCCAGATTCTTCATTATTAATACAGGATGACACTACAATCTAAGTTCCATCTGGAATACAGAGAAAACTAAAGAAAGTAACAAAAAATCACAACCAAAATACATCCCAGTCAGGACTGTAGCACTGATGCTGCCAGGGGGGGAGGTTGGGGCAGACAAGGGAGGATCACAGATCTAGGGTGTCTGTGCGGTGGACCTGGTGTTTACGTGTCTGAAGAGGCATGGACCTATAACCATAAACCATATACACACCACTGTGGAACCGCTGTTGCCTCAAATAATACAACTTAAAAAAAAAAATAAAGATCTACGTTCCATAAGAATTGTAACACTGCTTTATCATTCTTCTAGTAATTCTTAGCATTGATAGAGGTCTCCAATAAATATTTGTTGAATGAATGCTATTTCTCAAATAGCGTTTCTGATGCACTGGGCATACTCAGTAGTCAATAGAAAGGAAATGGCATGACTGTGCAGTCTGCATATGAACAACCGTGGCCTTGCAACAAAGGTGATAGCTATTTACCACCTTACCAGTTAAAAACTTGTGAAATAAGCTACTTTCATTGAAGGCAGGACGCTGCTACATTGTCAGTTTTGAGGAAAAGGCTCTCAACCATGCATTGGCAAAGGCTTGAACTCTAAGGCTTATGTTGGTTGGCTACAAAGGAATTTACCCTAATACAAGGGGTTAGTGACTGGATTTTTTTTTTTTTCTTAAAGGGGGCTGCTAAACCTCTTCCAAATGACTAGCCTTCAAAGATTCCTGTCAAATTCTCCCTACAGTAGCCTTCTGAATTGTAGTCTTGCTTGTTCCTTCAGTTTTATAGTATAAAAATTAAAACTACTTTGTAAAAAAGAATGTTACATGATTACTGCAATTAGATCTTTGTAAGATTTGACCCTTTTGTTTCACTATAACATGGAACTTTTCTTTTAAAATAGCTATCAAGCTTTTAGTCAAATTGCATTCAATTTATATCATTTACAGCATCTTTTCCTGGGACATTTGAACTGCCATCGTGACAACTGGCCATACAGTTCTCAGTCATAACACATATCCTTATGTCTTTCCTGTATCCACAGTATTTTCTTTTTCTTTTTTTTTTTTTTAAAGATTTTATTTATTTATTCGTACAGAACTGGGTTACAGGCCAGAGATGCGGAGGGTGAGAGGATTCACCAGAGACAGAGCGGGGAGCAGAACAGGCAGATCGACGAAGTACACTGCTGAGGGGAGCAGCGGGCGGGTCAGGAGAGGTCTGCCACATACTCATGCGGAAGTGGCTTTAGTTTCTTAGTGTAGTGCTTTAACCCGCTGCGCCACCAGGGAGGGCCCACAGTATTTTCTTTTTAAGATTTATTTATTTATGCATACAGAACTGGGGTACAAGCCAGAGGTGCAAGGGTGGTGTGAGGATTCACCAGAGACAGAGTGGGGAGCAGAACAGACTGATCAATGACCTACACTGCTGAGGGGAGCAGCGGGTGGGTGAGGAGAGGTCTGCCATGCCCTGTGGGTCACCTCCAGGGTGGGGATGGAACTTCCACTGAAGCAGCTGTGGCGAGCTTGCAGTGCTGCGTCCTTAACCGGTTGCACCACCAGGGAGGGCTCTATCCATAGTATTTTAACTGAAGAAAAACTTCAGTCAGTTTTAAGATGAAAATTTTCATTAGGAAAATTAATCATAAGTTTTCAATTATGTTAATATTTCTACCTAGTAGGCTCCTGAGCCATGTCCTAAATAGTTATAGAACAAAAAAAGTTAAGCTTTTTCTAGTTTATTATATTTGGTTCTGAATGAATCAAATCTTATAAACATAAACCACCTTAAAATAGGTTGAGTAGACCAGAATTACAAATTTATTCTCATTTTAAAATTAAAATATACTATAGTTAGTATAATTAACAGAATAGCTGTCAGGAGCTTGTCATCCATATATCAATTAATGTATATTTTACATTCAGCAAACTTAATTTTATCAAATGTCCTTTAATTTCAGAGACAACAGCATGACAAATATTATGTAAGAAGCACACAACAGTTATGCAGTACAATTTCAAAGTGTATACAAACTGGAATACAAGGTTAAATACTGGTATACTGACAGCGTTTTTGAATTCTGGAAGTCAGCTATACTCACCGCTACATCATCAATGCCACAGCACTTTTGAATTTTGGGTAAACTGCATATAAAACTTACAATTCGAATACCAGCCAATCAGGAAACTTGACTTCCCATAATATAAAATGATACTTTGAGATGCAAAATATTTTTTAACTAAACTATATAAACCTTTAAAATAATCATTAAAAACTCAACATTAGAATTTATAAAGATTAGCTATAAAAATATATTGGCAGCCATTTTCTTATAAATGTACCATTCACTACATTACAAAATAGATTCTTAACATAAAATTGCCTTAATAACTGTACTATTTTAGAATCTAATAAACCTTACATTAAATTGATTATAAAATTCTCTTGGAAAACTTTGGTACATATCTTCACAAAGTTTTAAAAAAATACTCTAATATCACCTCAAGGGCCTGTAAACATTCCATTCTATTAAAGCACAACAGTAAGAAATGTGTATTCAACTGCATACAGATTACAGAATCAAAAAACAATTTGTATTTGTAGAAAATCACCATTCCCAGAGCAACTAAAACACAAATTATTTAAAGGTATAAAACTTTTAAACAGTTCTTTTTCCCTTTTGATTAAAAACGCTACAAAGCCACCACTTTAGGACAGGCCTCACACCTCGTTAGCCCAGTCTCCAAACCCTCTCAGATCCAGTAAAACAAACTTTTAAAAACTCATTTAAAAGACTTGATAATAGAACAAGTATACATAATGAGAACACATAATTTATACATCTAGTTATGTATTAGCTTTTCTTTTACATTTGTAACTTAGAATTTATTGGCAGAAACAAAACATATATACAGACACACTTGAAAAAGGTAAATTTTAGAAAACAGTAAAAAATGCAAACCTATAGGATAAATGGATTTATTTTTAAAAACTCAATTTGCCAAATTTCATCTTCTGCCATTTTTGGATTATTGACAACTGTGGTTATTTAGAAAATTCAAATTGCTGAAAGTTCATTTCCTGCTGCTTGAGAAAGCTGTAATTTTTATAGTTTCCAGTTGTGCCAGTAACTTCTTTGAGGTCATTTTCCACTTTATCTGTCACCAGATTGCTTGCATAAGATATTTTATCCTTGAGTTGCAAAAGCCTAAACATAAAGCTTCATTTTTGACCTTTCAACTTGTAAAAATCCACTAAAAAGAAATCCATCTAATTTTCAGCCAAGTCCACAAATTTTTTTTTTCTTATGTATCAAACACTTTTATGGGAATAAAGATCCTTCAAAGTTTTTAACTCTTCTATTAAAGTTTTATTTTGATTTTCCAGGACTGCAACTCTGTTTTCCAAGCATTTCACATATTCTTTCTTCTTTCTGCGGCATTCTCGAGCAGCTTCTCTAATATAAGTGTTAAAAACCAATGTTAGGAAAAAATTCACACTCTTTATAAAAATGTTAAAAACATCTCAGTAATTTTTCTCACTTAAAAAGTTAAGGTCCGGCCCTCCCTGGTGGCGCAGCGGGTTAAAGCACAGCACTGAGAATCTGAAGCCACTTCCGCATGAGTTCGATTCCCGCCTGCTCTGCTCCCCCCTCTGTCTCTGGTGAAGCCTCTCACCGCCCCTGAGCCTCTGGCCTGTACCCCAGTTCTGTATGTACAAATAATAATAAAAAAAAATCTTAAAAAAAAATTAGGGTTTCCAGAAACTCAGTATGCAATGTGTAGAGTGTTTTTTAGAAAGAGTTAATTTTTTTAACATAC